CGGCGGGGGGCCGGGGGGCCCAGCCCGAGGTCCCGGGGCCGGGCCGCCCGCCGCGCCGCCATGGTGCCCTGGGGAGCGGTGCTGTGGCGGCGGCTGCTGAGGAAGCGCTGGGTTCTCGGCGTCGTCTTCGGGCTCTCCCTCGTCTACTTCCTCACCAGCACCTTCAAGCAGGTCGGTGCCCTCCCCGGAGCACGCTGGGGCGGGGGTCGGGGCGGGGGATCGAAACATCCCAGCGTAACTTCTGTTCTTCGAGTGCTGTCGCCGAGCTCCTGGGATACGTTGCCGTAAGAATTACATCGTGGTGATTAAAAAACAGACAGGAGTTAAAAGAAGTCACGTCTGATACCGTGTTTGACGGCAATAGTGTTTTGAACCAAAACTGGGGGGGAAAAAAGTTTCGAAGGGACTTGGATTATTCTGTTGTAATATCTTTTGTGAACTGTAACTCCACAAGCAAAGAACTTACAAAAGAGAAATATGTGTACCTGTGGTTATTTAATGTAATATATGCTACTTTTGTGGTTCAGCTGTGTTAGCCGATCCTTTGGTGAACTTGCATACCCCCATTTCCTGGATTACGTTGCTTTCATGCTGTGTATAGCAAAAAGTAAGCTACCGCAAGTAGTATTGTGCTTATGCCATTGACGCTCGAGTTTCCTGTAGTTTACAAATACTAGGCATTTTTAATTGCGGGGAAAGCACATGGATTGGAATGGCAGAAGGAACTTGTATGTTTGGTTGCATTGCTGTCTTTTCCTTGCAGGAAGAGAGGACAGTGAGAGATCGGAATCTCCTCCAAGTACAAGAGCATGAGCAGCCGATCATGTGGAAGGTGAAGTTCAGTTCGGGAAACAGCAGTCAGCTGAGTAACCAGTGCAGGAATTCTGTGCAGGGGAAGCTCCTCATTACAGATGAACTGGGTATACTTGATACTAAGAATTTATTCTGCATATTGCAGTGTCGAATGCTGCTTTGCCTGTCTGATTGTTGATGGCACTTCCGAGTAACAACTGCTCCTTGTTAAGGCATTCTTACTGCAGAACCTCAGCTGTTGGCATTTTTTCCTCAGACTGGATTAATTTTGCTGTGGCTGCAGACACTGCTGACCTGGTTCTGTGCACAGCAGGCTTGGGTCCAGCTGGACTCGGCTCAGGCACAGTACCTTATGAGTGCAGCTGCACTGTTTCCAGGACCACCTTAGATTCAAAGAACTCCAGTTACCTTTGCACAGAACTCAAACATTGAGTCCCGCTCAGCTTAGCATGGTTGCTTGCAGAGCTATCTCTGTCTCCCTGCAGTGTATTCCTACTGTCAGGTATGTTAGGGAGAGTAATCAGGGAAACCCAACTGGCCTTGCATGGAGGCAGCTCAGGACTGGTATAATTAGGGCTCAGTCACAGTTAACAACCTCATCTGACCCTTGTAAACCCAAGGATATTTCTTGCAGGTTCTCAAATTAACCACTTGTTTTAAGTGTATGGAGCCTTTCCTGCCCTGCACATATGCTTTCCCAGTGTGCTTGTTGCTCAGGCATGGGACCGTTCTTGACCAGAAATCAAGGCTGCAGGAAAACCACCACATCTTCTGTGATTTGCAGCAATGTTACATTTAGCCCTGCCTGAATTATGCTTGCTGCTGATTCGCTAAGGTCTCTAAAATCACAGGTATCTTTCACGGTCTAAGGCTGTGGTAGTACAGTTTCTGTAAGGACACACACTGTGGTTCTATACTATTAAGGACTCTGCTCAACAAGGAGTATTACAGCTATCCTGCATGGATAAATCTAAGTCTCTGCATATTGAACTGTAAAGAGAGTTACCCAGACACAGACCAGTTGAAAGAATGTATTTCATAGTTTTTTCCAGTATAATCATCACTAATCACCTTTCCCCTTCCAATCGCAACAATGAATTATGCCAAAAAGAAATCAGAACTTAAATATTCTGCATTTGAATACTCATACTGTATACACAGCATATTAGAGTAGGTACATAACAGTTGTACAGATAACACCATGCTGTTGTGAAACTCATCTCTATGTCCAAGTGTTATTTCAAAGAATTGCTAGTTAGGACTTAAGTGAAATTGAGGGGGATCATAATCTACTAAATGATGAATAAACCTCTTCTTAAGTAATGAGGTTCTTTCTATAGATTTCTACAGAATGTGCAAAGGAGTATGTCTTGCCAGGTGTTACTACTGTTTTTGTTTTTCAGGCTACATCTGTGAGAGGAAGGACCTACTGGTAAATGGCTGTTGTAATGTCAATGTGCCCAGTACAAAGCTGTACAGCTGTGACAGCTGCCTTCCCAATGGCTGCTGCAGTGTATACGAGTACTGTGTTTCCTGTTGCCTGCAACCCAGCAAGGTGCATAGACTTTCTCCTGCTTTTCAGGTGTTCTCAGCTGCTCAGGTTCCTCTGTGGCTAAAAGTGCTTGTTTGTGAGGAGCTTTTTCCTTAGAGGGGACAGTCCCTTGTCTTGGATGAGGAAAGCCTGCAAGGACCATATGGCAAGCTATAAATAAAGCTTTAAAAAATTTTATCCTTCCCACCTTTGAGAGGAAATACTGGGAGCCTTGCAAAATGTTTCAGCTTTGGGGGAATTGCATTTGCTGAAGGGAAATGACTGTAGAAAAGCTATTCCAGCCAGTATCAGTTTTGCAACTAGCACTTCCCTGTATTCTCTTAGTTTCTCTAGATTCTCTTCCTACTGCTGCGCTTCTGTGGCGTGTTAGCCTCTCAGCACTTGCTAGAAATTGTAAGTGCTTACTATTCCTCTGATACTTGAGCTGTGTAGGTTAAGGTGGGCTATGATTACTCCTTGTTCAAGTACGGCATTCGTGATTTTTTTTTTTTTCACTTTGTCGTCTTTTTTGCTAACTTAGCAACATCTTCTGGAACGTTTCTTGAACCGGGCAGCTATTGCTTTCCAAAACCTCTTCATGGCAGTGGAAGATCACTTTGAGTTGTGTCTGGCAAAATGTAGGACTTCATCACAGGTAAGACACAAGTACATGTCCAGGGCTCAAAAATGGAAAAATACCCCAAAAATGCCTTTGGAAAATGGGGCTTGGTCCTATGAATGGCTGGTCTGTTGTGCCTGCATGCATGTGGGCATTTTCATGAATGCTGAAGCTATGGGTGAGAGCTAATCTGAAGGTAATCCTCTGATTTGTAAGGTGAAATAGTAATATCAGCAGTAAATGAAGGGCAAAGTGCCTATTTAGAGCAGGATGGGTTGTACGCTCTTTAGAAAAGAGGTACTTAACTAAAAAGAAACTAGCTGAGTTCAATGACTGCTAAAGATCTCTGATGTGTTCTGGGGAAGATCTCGTAAGGAAGACAACTGTGTGAGTTGTTCCCACTAGCTTCAGAATGCTATTTACTTTATGGTACATTTTTAGACTTAACATATGCTGAGAATCATCTGCACAATAACTCAAAAAGTATGTTGTAATTTTTTTTTGCTTTTTAAGAACAGAGGTGAACTTCTGTTACCCATATGATTTTATTAGAAGTTTTGATCTCAGCGACCATCGGCCCTCTTAGAAAGTGCTGTTGGAGATGTCATGCAGCTTGAGTATTTAATATAGCAATAGGGGTGGATTGCAAACAAAGGGCATAGTTCCAAATGTCTCTAAAGCTGTTTGGTTGGTTGTTTGTTTTTGGGTTTTTTTTACCTGTAACATCTGAACTCTAGCTTTATCAAGAAAAATGCACACATCTCAAGTAGCAATTTTACTATGCCTTGCCTGCTTAGGACATTTGATGATACTGCCTAAGCATATAAAATTTTTTTTGAATATTGAATCTATTCCCACCTACTTGGGTAGTCTCCTGAAAAGGAGGTTCTGGGTATGGTTTAACATTAAAGTCTATAATAGCAACTGGCTCTTATATGTTGGGAGTGCAGTGTTGTCTGACTCTAGATGATACTGTCATATATAGACGAATTTGGGAAAAGCTCTGGGTTTTGGCCTGCATCGACGGGATGTATTGTTTCAATATGTGTGTATCGTTAAAGCTTCTCCTCCTCTTCCTGACAGAGTGTGCAGCATGAAAACACCTATAGAGATCCAATTGCAAAATACTGCTATGGCGAATATCCCCCAGAGCTGCTGCCTGTTTGAAAGCTGCATGATCTAAGCAACAAAGGGAAGGAACTGGAGACTAGAATCCAAAAGAGCAAGACAACAGCTGTTACTTTACAAGACCCTCAGTGTAAACGGTTTACATTGTTTCTGTACACCCAGAGGTGCACAGTGTAAGCGAGGGACTTAAGTTCTCCGGCACTGAATCTTGCTTTCTTCAGTTTGTTATGCACCTGCTTTAGAGTACTAGAGTACCGGTACTGTACTAGAGTACTAGTACATTCTTTGAATACTTTCTCTAAATTTTAGGATGCATGGAGTCAATAGACTATAAAACATCATAGAAAAAATATCTAATGTAGCTTTGCAGCTGTACATGGAGGTTCAGTTGTGTCTCTGCAGTCCAGAGACTTTCCAGAGTGACAGTAATTGGAGGATTTTTGCTTTTAGAGAGTAAAGCATGCATGTTGTGCTTCTCTCTCTGGAGCACTTCTTGACATGCATGGTGTACACTACATATGTAATTATGAATTATTTATTCATTTTGTATGGATTACTAGCTGAAAGTATTGATGCTTTGCATAGCTAGTTGTTGATGCCTTTCAGTCCCTGTTTTGTTATGTCAGGTAGAAAGGACATTTTAGTTCCTGACTAAAATTGGTTGGGTTTTTTCCCTCCTTAGTCTAAAGGAATTGTATTGGGATTCGTCACTATAGTGCTTATGTTCCTCTTGG